ATATCAAGACCATCGCCATCATCATTGTCGGACTCACCGGGGTTGATGACCACTTCTGTATCAAGGTGTCAGCACGAAGGATTCTGCTCTAAGGAGGTCGTCAGAGTAGCCACATGTCCTCGAATTAATGTCAGGTATTTTTGTATTGTATTGTGAGTTGTGAAGAGGCTGAAAAATTTGATTGTGAATGGTGAAGACATTGGATAGTTTGAGTAATGTAGAAACTAAATGTTGTCCATTTTGGGTAATGTCATGCACTTTCATGGGCTCTGATCTTGACTTGATCATCAATTATTTTTCTGTTTTACTCTGTTGTTTATATTTGAATCAAAGGAATGTAGACTTGTAGTTTGCTGGCATTGAGTTTATATTGTCTTAGTTGGGTGGCTTATATGTGCTGAGCCACAAGGCCGACCGGACCGTGCGAATGAGCCGATACCTTTCAGGCCCGTCCCATAGGACCTTCACAGCCTTGGCCATGGAACTGAAAGACCTCTCAATCTCTCTACATTTTGTATCATATGCAAACAAATAACAAAACAAACTAAGCACACCTAACAGCATCAAACCCTTCATACCCTTTCACCTCAATGAAATTTCTCTCCAAATCATATAAATTATTTTTTTTAAAAAAATGTGGGGAGGCACAGCACAGCATCCCCCAAAGAATATAGCTCCCAGAAAGAAAAAATAACAAAAAAAATTTGAATCTATGTTTTGTTCTCTAAAAAAAATCCTTTTTTTTTTCTTTTTTTATTTTCCTCTCTCTCTATGTGTTGAAGTACATGACCTGCGGCGCAAATCTGAGCAGCCTATCGAGTGCGTCGGGCGTGAACTTCCTCGCGAAAAGGTAGCACGGGCCCATCGTCTCCGGGCCGCACGCCTTTCCCCCTCCCTCTCTCAGCCACTGGAGGAACCGCGGGCTCACGTCCGTTCGGATGAACTTTGTCGGGTGGGGCCCACCCCTCGCCCAGTCGACCCATGTAAGGGTCCGGTTCGCGTTCCGGGCCGCAAACCCGCCCGGGAGCAGGCCCACGAGTGTCGGCAGGTAGTGCTCGTCCGCGTAGCATCCCCCCGTGCAGTGATTTTTGAAGGCCGGGAAGTAGGTGGAGTCCGAGACTACCTCGAGCGCCAGGTGGCGGTCCGCGAAGAACCATTGGGAGCCCTTGCGCCATTCAGAGAGGAGGATGGTGGGGGACATGTCGGGGCTGTAGCGGCCGCGGCCCACCGGGCCCGGGAGGTCATAGGACTCGACGAAGGTTTGGTTGGAGTTGAGGAGGTAGGAGTAGACGGTGGAGAAATTGTAGAGAGGAATGCACGACTCGGAAAGGAGGACGAACCTCTGGTTCGAGACGTCGAGGAGCGCGTGGGCCAGCAGTCGACGCTCGGCATCCACCATGTTCGCGTCGCCCCATTGCACTTCCTGCATTATTATTATTATTATTGGGCAAAATTGCATTTTTGTTAGTCCTGCTGGTTTAATGACGTAACGTTTTTTGGTACAAAATTGAATATTTATTCTATTTTATTTTTTGTGAAAATCGTCAACATCCAGCCTGAACACGCGGTCATTAGGAGGCTGATTTCTATGGCTATATATTCGTTTGATTGTATATGGAACCCATTAACAAATAAGGTTGGATCTGTATACCATTGTTTGGTCAACAAAAGAGGACGCGTAAAGAAGTAAATTATGTAAAAGGTAATAGTATAAGGATCATAAACAAATAATAAATCAGCGTCTTTTAAACCTTTAAGGCAGGAAATAAGCTCAAATACAACTATAGGCAAAGAATTAAATATATAATAACATTTTTTTTGTTTCCTTTTTTCAACTAATTTTGAAAACAAGACCGTTACATTCTCCATTAATCAAGTAACTATATTTTTTATTTATTTATGTTATTATATAATAACTACTAATAATAAATCATAAACTCACAATATTTATTACAAAATTTTTTTATTCAATATTATTGCCGAAAAAAAAAAAATCAAACTATTTATTTAAAAATATTATTACTATTGTTTTTTAGCTAATTACATATTTGTTTTTATAAAATTAGTTAATTATTTATTATGACATAATCAAATCTCTTAAAATTCCTCACACATTTGCTATAATGATAAGTTCAATGTTTTTTCGTGTAATTAATTGATAATAATCACTTAAAATTACTAAAATTACATTATCCTAATCATACCAATATGATCGTCATACTTAATCAATATAGTAAGTTAAACAGTTTACATTTATATTGTTAAACTCATAATAAAATTTATAAAATGCTATATGTTCGTTATCAAACTTATAACTTATAAAAATTTAGTTGCATCTGTACATATGCACAAGATGGAGTACTAGTTTGGTTAAATTTAAAATTGATCTCATAAATTTGGAGTATATCATATGTAGTTATGTTGATAATTTGAATTTTGAAAAAACTTAAAAAATGTATTTCCCTAACAAGTCTCAAAGACTCAAACTAAAAGAAGAAAAAGGCTACGGTCCGTTATAGTACTATCCCGTCAGGTGTTTTAACCGTCAGATCATCTATCTTATCTAACTATACGTAGATCCGACGGTTAAAACACCCGACGAGATAGTAACATTTCCCCTATCAAATATGCACCGAAAATAGCATAAAATTGAATAATAATATCTGAATATTCTTTAAAATAACCGTTGAAAGAGAAAGGCATTCAAATCTACCAAATATGCACCGAAAATAAAACAATATCTCGGCCTGCTTTTCATAAGATTCACATTAATTTATTTAAATAATTTAATTATGTTCGTTCACATCACCAAACACAGAAAGTTTCCAATAAATAAATAAAAATAAAATCAAAGAAGAAATCAATTAATTGAATTATTGAAAAAAAAAAAAA